CCAAGGAAAACAACGTGCAATTTACTTATACCCGCTGCATTTTATCTTAATTCCCCGCAACGCCGTTAAACTGTCTGTGGCTTGTAATCGGAACCGTTCCCCCCATTTTCGTAGATATTACATACGCGACTGTATAATAACTTTCCGCGCATACGATCTCTGGCATTCTCTATTTGAAAATAGCTAGAACTACTTATCAGCGCAATACGGGCATTTAGAAACTCGCACGATCAATCCTCCCCATCGTATCTTCGCTCATTTTGCATTTCGTTTTACGACGACTTTAATGACCGTTAACGCCGGAATACTCTTCAAGACTATACTCCGCTTGCAGCGTGTTAAGGAAGTGCTCGATCAATTCTGCCACGGTACGTTGTATTTTCTTCAGTCTTAAAAAAAAGAAACAAGAAAAGAAACAACTCGTGCTCGTTACCTGAAACGAATTTTATTTTAGTTTTCTTCCGTTTCATTTTCTTTCTTTTTTGTCTTTCGTCGAGAAAAGAAATGGAAAAGCCTAAAGGTAATTCATACTTTCAATTGAAAGGCGCGTAAGCATATTGATTTGTATGAGCAAGCTATAGCCGGTAGTAGGTACACTTTTCCAGTTGTCCGTTTCCTTCGTTCCTCTCTTTCTTCCTCTCGTTCTCTCTTTTTGGCTTTTTACGTTACGTGCCGCCACCAATAATACGATGCACGTGCGTTCATTCATAGAACGCTAACGTGGTTTCAGAGTACCGTGTACGGTTTAGCCGTAATCAAGTAAGATGCGGACACCATGAGTGGCAACCTTGCAGACAAGATGACACGTATGCATAGTGGGATGTGCATAGCATACGGTCGCATTGGCTGTCTACTGTTGAGTGACATCCCATTCATTCTTACGAGTAACGCAAACGTCCTGATAGATACGAACCGATCAATTCTACTCGAATCGTTCAAATTTTCTCAATCGTTAGTACTTCCATTTTTTTCCCCTGAAATAAATATATTCAACGTAAAAAAAGTTCATCTTGACGATTGGAATATTTTTCTACGTTTCTATCACAGAGTACGTAATTCGCGAATATTTCTATTTGAAAACTGTTACGAGAATGAAAATCTAAGGAAGAATAGAAGAGAGTTGAACGATGAAGATTCACATCGGGTTG